GCATTGGCTAGGTTTTAATGGGTGGATAATGATTGAGAAGGTTATCCTGATTAAAATTTATATCAGCGGAACCTCCTAAACATATCCTAATTTTTAAGAAGTAATAATAAAATAAGAAAACTGCGGGGAACACTTATTAACCCAAATTAGTTGTCATTCAGTTGGACATGTTGATAACTAGATAAGGTCCATGTCTCATAATGAAATACATACTTCAGTTAGCAGCAGATATCAGTAGATGGCGATATGCTGCTAAAACTAGATAAATATATCAACTTTCATTTAAAGAGTTCCTTCGATTTCATTGTTGAATTATCGAAACTGTCCATGATATAGATACTAATGGGATTTGGTAGTTTCAATAAATTTTCGACCAAAAACTTATACTATTCTTATGATATCTGGTAAACAGCCCTGTTCAGAATAAAAACTGTTCAAACTAATAAAAGGACAATGAAAACAGATGGTTTAAAAGGGATTCATAGAAACGAATTAAAACAAAATTCCTAAATTAAAATGATTTTAATTTGTAGGTTAATATTTCATAATTAATAAAACATCAAAATACATTCAAAAATCAAAATATACGTTTAATTTAAAAATAGGAGTAGCTAATGTATGGTTCAAATTATTGATGTTCTGATTTTTAAGAAAATGCAAACCACACAGCAAAAGCAAAAAGTCAACTTTTTTTGTAACGAAAATCTTCCTAGAATGTATCCTTCACACTACAGGTAAAATAAGCAATTGGAAGTAAATATAAGTATGCGTAATACCTGAAAGTAGGTAAGAGGAAAGAGGATGAAACATGCACGTGAAGTCATTACTAAAATTATAAAACCTTTAGCGATTTAATGTGACGCTACATGAAAATCAGAGACATGTACGTACAAAAAAAAAAGGTCGTTTACATTATGTATAAACCTGTGTGTATAAATAGCTGTACTTACTTATTAAGCGGTCTTCCACTACGAGGAGCAGAACAGTCGTTAAACGGGAGGTATCCTAAATCGACAACTTTACGTATTTGAACCATTATTAAAATCTAATAATTGTTTAACAATTGAAGGTTGAAACACTGAGAAATGAAATGGTTCCGTTTCACATCGTATTCGAAAGCGTATTAAAATTACAAGTAGCACGCTAGGTATTACCAGCAGTATATCTACCACACATATCTGTAGTAATTATTTAACAAATTATTTAAAGATCTTTCAAATTGCAAATAGTACACAGCAGGGCTATTACTGCAGTAGCTGACCCAAATGATTCTGTTTGCGAGCTTAGAATAAAATGACGCCTTGGACAGGTGTCCAAAAATTGTGAAACTCGCTGGAAATAACCCAGCTACTTTCGGGAAAAATAAGAATCACGTTCTGTTAGTAATATGAACAACGGTCGGGATACCTGCGCGATATACTGAGTGAAAAATATCCTCGACGATGTTTATATTGCTTTTTATCCCTCACATAAATTATCCTATTCATACATGTTATAAATACGTACTTACATATATATTTGAAAAACATATTAAATTAATTTTATTTTCATTTTCTGATGATTTCTTAAAGTGAAAAATGTCACAGAACTTGAATAAGAACTAACTTCTAATCGTCTTAAGAATTTAATCAATTTATTTGTTGTAAATAAAAATTCTGTTTTAAACGAATTATTTATATTTGAAGTCATAAGTTTATAGCTTTTGTGCTTCTGTACGTAAACTAGAACATTTTGATAAGAGTGCATTTCCAAAAAAAAAACAAACCTCGCCCCCTTTCGATTTGGTGCATAAGGTCAGGGACCTCAACTACGAGTCTGAAATTCGCTTGACTTCCGATTCTCGGTTTTCTCGGTAGTAGAACCTACCCCTACACGATATTGTGCACGATATTTCCCACTTATAGATACTGTTAAAAGGCGGAAAACAAATACTCCATGAAATTTTTACGAAGGCTTGAAAATGACTTTCGTAACCCTCCTTTTCCCTAGAACAATTGACAAGCACAACTTTTTCTCATATGTAAACCAAATAATCTTAATGTGATCACTTTAGGATGGTGAGGACCTGACGAGTTATCGACTTTTAATAAATTAAATTAGCACATTCACATTCGTGGATTTTTGAGCATGGCATTGATAAAAACTTGAAAAGCTAAAAAAAATCGAAAGCATTGGTAGTATAGTGTGTAGGTCATAGCAGAAAAAATTAAAAAGCTGCAGTTTCACAAAAAGTATGCCCTTAACTTGAATAGAACAAACTTGACAGGGCAAAGAAAAACAAAACTTCATTGTCCTTAGCCAATATCTTTAGAGGACAGCCAATATCTTTAGAGGACAGCCTACAGCATTAAATGAAAAAAAAAATATGAGATTGCTACAAGATGATGAACCAAAAAGATGTGCCAAAATTACTAATAATATTAAATTAAATGCGTTGCTCCAAGGTGGCGATTTAATTGCCTAAGAAGCTAAGTACCACTCGAAGTGTTATATAAATCTAACAAATAGTAAAAGAGAGCCAAGTGTAGTAAAAGTAGAAGAAGTCGACTCTCTAACTACGAAAGTATGATCTTTGCTTTTGTTGTGCTTCATAAGACAGAAAATTGACGACTGCAAATCTGGAAATCTTTTAGGCGTGGAAAGTAGAGGTCTTCTATATACACATACTACTCGTCTACATGAGACAATTTTCGATCACTTCCCACAACTCAAACCTCATCTTCCAGGTAGAGATTAGTTCCTACACCGAGATGTTGCTAAAATTATTTATGTGTTATTTCTGAAAACCTTGATGTTAATACTGAAGCAAATTAAGAAGGTAACAACTCACAATGAAGTTACTTTTGACGGTTACCTGAATGATGATTAACAAACTGCAAGCGTTCCTTCAGAACTTCTGGTTCCAATATCTTATTACTCCATGGTTACACTTTAGGTGAGAGCAACCCAGCCGGCTTTGATAATATGTCAATGAATGGTTGTCAACCGTAGTAAAAATAAAATGGCAACATTGTTATTAATTCAAAAATCATGAACCACCTACTCCAATATACCTAGGCTTATTTGTTTTTGGGAGAATACGAAATAACACAATAATTGAATACAGTTAAGGAAAAAGGTTTCTCAATTTCACTAAACAGCTAGTGTAACTTACATGGTGATTCTAAGAGCTTAAAAGGATGTCATGTGCCTCCTTTAATATTCTTCATGGTGTGATTTGTGCGTACGACAATATTGATCGTAACTACAGCAGCATAATTTCGGAATCACCTTTCCACGGAATATCAATCTCTATCTTTCAAATTCTTTCCAAAGGAGAAGGTGGCATGCCTTGTAAAACTGTCACAAGCATGTTTTGTATTGATCAAAGTAATAGAAAAGTGTCGCAGCTTTCAGATAGTTACAATTATTGTGAAGTCTATAACACTGATAGCTTTGCTAAGAGTAATTCCCTTTTATCCTTATTTAATGAAAGTTCTTCTTCATCGGCTATGCCAAAGCATGCAATAGCATAAATAGGGAAAAATATTATATTTTTAAATCCAGAACAAACTCACATGTACTAGTCCATATATTTAATTTAACTGAATCCATCCGTAGAACTAGCCCGATTTTTAAAATCAAACGAATTGCGTAATCATGTTTTAAGTTTTTCAAATAGAGCAGGCCTTTTTGAAAGTACTTGGTTAGATTCTGGCAAACTCTGGAATTAAGATAGAAGCAGACGCGGAAACGTGTAATAAAATTACCCAAGTCACAAAAGCAGGAGCAATGAATTAGAAGATTATTACTGTTTGATACAGGCTGGGGAAAGAAGCATTTACGCAAGGAAATCCACAGATTTCTTGTAAAGAATGGATTGAAGAAAAACATAGCATTCAATGTGCATGAATACTTATTCAAAAAACCAACAGTCCTTTTTCTGCATTCGCTATGGATCAAGCTCACGAGCAGAATAACGCCCATATAAAAGGAAATGATGGTGCTGCAGGTCTGTTGCAAGATCCAGCCATGCTGAGAAAATGGATGCTGTCCGGCCACAATTAGCATTCTCGGTAAGTTTAAGTCAACAAGTAAAACTATCAGTAGTGAAAGGCCTTCCTTTCTTTAAATACCGAGAGAAAAGTACGTGTATATACTCCTCTTAAACAAAATCGGACTATGCCCTTTCGGAGTTGAAATGATGTTCAGTTTTTCTCTAAAGCTGAAAGAATCCGTTGATCCACTACAATTTAACGGATTTTGTGATACAATTATTTACGATGGAGCTGCATCAGCACATGCTCTTCCAGTCAAAATATCACGGACTTTTGACAATTACTGCAATACGGAATTCAAAAACAGTATTTTAAATGATGGTGAGATGTTCTATGCAAACAGAATAATATATACTCTGTATATTGAAATACTTTTCCAAAATTTTCCCTGAAGAAAAGGGAAAGAACCGTTGGTCTTCATTGCCAAGTAGCACAAGAAAATTAGTACTAAAAAATTGGAATGACTTTCTCTGGTTCGAAAAAAATAAGAGAGCACTCTTCAAAATACTTGTAAAACATGCATTTTTGAAATTTAATTTGGTTCATGTCATTACTGAGATGGATGGCATCATTCGTTTTTTTTTTGGCAGAATAAAAATTTAATTGATGGGGTGAAAGCTACCTTTTGGCAGCAAGTTTGAGCACAGAAAATGGAACATTCTCATGAAAAAATGCAGTACTCTTTGGCGGGGGTATCAGATACCCTCTCCTACTTTCACTTGATCGCACGTAATGAGATTAAAATTATGATAGTTTGAATACACCACACCATACCTCCCATAAAGGTGCATACGTATAACACGATTAGTATTCATATTGTCTCTCAGCTAATCTTTTATACATTTATGTATGAGTATACTCATGGAAAATATTAACGTTTTTGATACCCGTTGTAAACATGTGTGGGATTTCTCAGGATTATTGTTTTCTTGACTATATTTACAAAAAAGCAGTTTTACTTACTTTGACTGAAATCCTTCAAATTCTTCATTTTGTTCACTTATAGAGGCATCCAGATCAAGATAAGCTCCATAGTCTCCATCTTTGTAAAGCTGAATAGCAACATCATCCAACTAGAACAAAAATAATATTTATTTAAATTATTTGGTTACGCCATCTTAAGGCAATTTTTACGCATTACTTGTTCAATTATACTCCCATATTAATAACATTAGGTAAGCATTTAACAGTAATAATGATCTAGATAGAATAATACAGATGTTGTCTAAAAAGCATATCATTAACAAAGAAGTGGGCGCGCAATTTAGAATAGGAGTGAGCTAGCTTAACCGCAATAAAATTTTCAAAATGCTTATTTACATTGAGCATTTATTATACACAAATGACTAATTAAATGGGCGCGACATCTAAAAGTTACAATTAAAAAGAAATATTCCAACCCTATATAATTATTAAGCATTTAAGGGCAAGTCTGGCAGATCATGTTTGGCTCGGATGAGTAATTCACCTTAGGCAATCTGGAGGGGATAACGAAAGATAAAACAAAATAATATTGTTGAAACTATTAGTATCTTTAACTGCATGTTTTTGATTAAAAAAAAATAGGCTAAATCATTTTCGAATCTATTTTTTAGGGATGAAATAAGTTGGTCAAACATCTTAAAGAAAGATTATTTGAAAAAATGTTTCGGGATTGTGAATTCATGCGTATCAGTTGCTCATCGCCACCCAAATTGAATTATTTCTAAACTTCTCATTGACGCAACAATTTGAACGCTTTTCTTCCTGAAATTTACCATTTAAAACGTCAGTAATCGCTTCAATCTTTTTATATGATTAGATCACGTAGGGATCAGAGTAATTAGACCAAATGTCCTTTCTTAGGGTTTGATCTTCAGCTTTTGCTATTTTAAAAGTATACCGATACGGGATTTCTCAGAAATTTGAACAAAAGTCCAATATGACCATGTTTAATATTACCAGCTGTAGATAAATTTTGCCCTACCAACCTCAATTGACGTTTGGATACTGTTAAAAAACATCAAGCGATACTTTTTCAATAGATCGTATATTGAAATTAACAGGTCAATTAAAAAGTCCCCGGCCTAAAATAGTAAAACACATTTTTTTGCAAAATTCGTTTTTTTTTGTTCAACATAATTCCCTTCAAGGGTGATACACTGATTATAGCGATCCTCCAACTTTTCGATACCATTTTTGTAGTACGATTTGTCCTTTGCTTCAAAATAGGCCTCAGTTTCGGCGATCACCTCTTCATTCGACGAAAATTATTTCCCAACGAGCATTCTTTTGAGATCTGAGAACAGGAAGTAGTCGCTGGGGGCCAGATCTGGAGAATACGGTGGTTTCGGAAGCAATTCGAAGCCCAATTCATGAATTTTTGCCATCGTTTTCACTGACTTGTGAGACGGTGCATTGTCTTGGTGAAGCAGGACTTTCTTTTTCTGCAAATGCGGTCGTTTCTCGGCGATTTCGTCCTTCAAACGGTCCAATAATCCAATATGTAATAGTCGCTGATGATGGTCCTTCCTTTTTCAAGGTAGTCAATGAAAATTATTCCATGCGCATCCCAAAATATAGACGCCATAACCTTGCCAGCCGACTGTTGCGTTTTTGCACGCTTTGGAGCGGGTTCATCGTATGCAGTCCACTCCGATGACTGTCGATTGGACTTCGGAGTGAAATGATGGAACCATGTTTCATCCATTATCACATATCGACGCAAAAACTCGGGTTTATTACGCGTGATCATCTTCAAACACTGCTCTGAATCATCAACTCGTCGTTGTTTTTGGTCAAAAGTGAGCTCGCGCGGCACCCACTTTGCACAGAGCTTTCTCATACCCAAATATTCGTGAATGATGTGATGTATACGTTCCGTTGATATCTGTAGAGTGTCTGCTATTTCATTCAATTTCAATTTACGGTCATTCAAAATCATTTTGTGGATTTTTTTAATGTTTTCGTCCGTAACAGCCTCTTTTGGGCGTCCACTGCGTTCACCGTCTTCAGGGCTCATTTCACCACGTCTAAGCTTAGCATACCAATCCTTGATGGTTGATTTTCCTGCGGCAGTGTCCGGAAATTCGTTATCAAGCCAAGTTTTTGCTTCAACTGTATTTTTTCCCTTCAAAAAGCAATATTTTATCAACACGCGAAATTCCTTTTTATCCATTTTTTTCACAATAACAAAAGTTGCTTCACTAAAAATGCTATAACTCACAAACTAATGATCCGACAGCCGTCAAATTTATAGACGCGTTTTTTGAAGGTTAGGACTAACTGAAAATCATATGGATTTAGTTCTGGTGCCGCCATCTATGTGTCAGGCCGGGGACTTTTCAATTGACCCTAGTATTTTTTAAAATGGTTATTTTCACGGTAGGTAAGTCGTAAATTTAGAGAATCTTGCATCCACGAAGCATTCTAGTTTCTCGATGTAAATCCAAATTCAATAATGCTCATGTCTGATGTGCATAATTATAAAATGACGTAAACGTTCCGGGTGATTAACTGATAATTTCTCCAAAATAACATTACTTTTCGACCTTGTCAACTTTGTATCTACTATAATTTCGAGTGAGACTATTGTAGGCATTTTAAATGGAGATTAAAACTTACTGTAAATGTACCGCAAATTAGCCGTGAAGGTCAAAAATTTGCCGGGACCAGGGAAACCCGAACACCGGTTCGCCTCGCAGCTTAAAGTTAGCATGCAAATAACTGAAATTTCGTTAAGAAAACTGACGCCTGGGGAGCATCCAGGAGCAGTCAAAACGAACTTTGCCGAATAGGATTGAGTTACAAGGTCTCCTATGCTCTGCCGTACTATCCTCTGAACGGAAAAGAGGAGATATCAAATTCGAATCAACTGAAAGCTACCTTTTCAAAAAAAACAAATGTCATTATCATGCTTATTGTAAGAAAAAGGGCTTTGTCGGTATGTTCGAAAGTTCGGTTCAATGGACTTATTTTGATTCCTGGAATTAACCTGTGGCTGCTCTTTACAATAAATTAATCATACAATAAGAACAAAATTGATAATTACAGGCGTCAAATGCAGAATGATTTGCCTTTAACTACAAAATTGCCATGCTCGGCTGAAATTCCTTTTTGGAATGGCATCATATCATTTCCATTTTAGGCTGTTTTTTATAGAAAGTTTTAGTAAATATCTACGATATGATTAAAGTCTAAATATAGAGACAACATTAGAAAACAAGAAGAATAAAATACTTAAAACATTGTTATTATTAGCTAGAAATAGAATTAAAACCATAATACTTCACACATCTGCCCAAGTACATATTAACTTATCCCTTTGGGATAACTAGTTGGTCAGGCACACACACATTACCAACCTGCTATCATACCAGTAAATCTTGATTCAGATTTCAAACCGCCAACACAAACTGAAAAATAAAAATCCAACACTGAGAAGTGAAAATCGAAAGCATGTCACGGAAAATTCCCAAACCAACAACAATAAGAAGATAACCCAACGTCGAATAAATGGTTAAAGGAAATATATTCTCAGAAACTGAAGCGGTTTATGATTTCGATACAAAAGGCATAGCGTTGCTAAACAAATACACTCACTTTATTAAACAAGTACAAACTTATAGACGAGAAAGAGTATCACACCATAAATGTATACTATATCTAATCAGTATTCCGAAATATTTGAAAGGTAGCATCTGAAGACAGTATAGATCGCATCTCGTTATAGCGCAAAAACGTAGGTGAAACTATAACAAAAACTATCCGAGTTAACGAACCGTCAATATTTGAGGACACTCGCCAGGGTGGCAGCTATGTTATCTTATCGCCCTTCATTACCGCAAGCCTCAAGCGATGAAACACACGCACCTACTCGTGACATTGGCAGCGGCTGACACACAGACAGGCCAATTGCAAGTGATAACTATCAGTTTAGCCACCAGTCCGTAGTTATCATTCGACTGTTAACGTTACTGTTATTACCATAAAACAGAAAAATAACTGTTATTTTGAAGAAAATCCTTAATTAATTGTTTGATATTAGATATGTCATTTAGTTTTTAGAGTAATAACTGATATGTAACTCTAGCTGCCTCAACTCTTTGACGTAATAATAAATGAACATTTTTACCGCTGATTTTTTTAATAAGTTTCTTGATATACGTTAGTAGTTTTCGATTTATTTATATTTATTTTTATTTTTTTTACTGTAGGTATGTGACATACTGAATAATATAAAGAACAATTAAGTCCGATTTAAATTATTAAGTATGCGAACTAAATTAAATCAAACCATTATAACTCTTCCATTGCTTAAAAAGATTAAGAACACATACCGTTTCTATCCCTCATAAGGTCTTATTTATCTACTGTAACAGAAAGTAAACCAATGTTTCGTTATAACACGATTATGTCCTTAATGCTATAAAGTACACAAACATTTATAATTAAATTTAAAGGAGGCAATCCCATTTATATCTAACGTCATAGCAAACAGTACAGGTAATGTTTCAGAAAATTTACGCTTCGAAGCATACGAGTTTGGGTAATTATTAAGAATTTGTTGCTTCCTTTGTTTCTTCAATTACATTTTATATTATAACTATGACGTAAAAAACACTAAGCAGTTACAATACTCGATTACATTCTTATGAGTTTTTCCCAATTGTTAAAAAAAAAATTAAATGTAGAGAGTTGAACATAAAGCATTTTCAATTTATGTCCGAGAACATAAGCGGTTATCGCGCTATTTAAATTTGTCCTACTTATATGCTAATAATCAATACCAACTGGAACCTACCAACCTACATTTAGTGAAGAGTGTAATAATCTTTTTGTTGGATTCTGTAATTGTTTCATCCACTGGATTTTATGTAAATTCCCTTTCAAAACTCTTTAAGAGTCAATAAGAAATAGGCGAGATAAGTTAGTAGAACACCTTCTCAGGCATGAAGGTCTAGTCAGAGACAATGGGAAGATTAGCTCATGGTAGGAAAGAGTGGAGATACGTGTCCAACCAGTCTTTGGATTGACAACCTTATGATGATGAGAGTGGGTTATATTTTTTTAAATGAAATGTTATTTAATTTTA